CTTCTTCTTTTCCGATTTGGATTCCTTTTATTTATTTTTCTTCTCTGATTGCTCTGGCTAAAACTCCCAAAACTATGTTGAATAAGAGTGGTGAGAGTGGGCAACCTTGTCTTGTTCCTGATCTTAGTGGAAATGGTTTCAGTTTTTCACCATTGAGAATGATTTTTGCTGTGGGTTTGTCATATATGGCCTTTATTAAAGGGTTAGGTCCCTCTATGCCTACTTTCTGGAGAGTTTTTATCATAAATGGGTGTTGAATTTTGTCAAAAGCTTTTTTCTGCATCTATTGAGATTATCATATGGTTTTTATCCTTCATTTTGTTAATATGGTGTATCACATTGATTGATTTGCATATATTGAAGTATCCTTGCATTCCTGGGATAAACCCCACTTCATCATGGTGTATGATCCTTTTAATGTGTTGCTGGATTCTGTTTGCTAGTATTTTGTTGACGATTTTTGCATCTATGTTTATCAGTGACATTGACCTGTAGTTTTCTTTTTTTGTAACATCTTTGTCTGGTTGTGGTATCAGGGTGATGGTGGCCTCATAGAATGAGTTTGGGAGTGTCCCTCCCTCTGCTATATTTTGGAAGAGTTTGAGAAGGATAGGTGTTAGCTCTTCTCTAAATGTTTGATAGAATTCACCTGTGAATCCATCTGGTCCTGGTCTTTTGTTTGTTGGAAGATTTTTAATCACAGTTTCAATTTCAGTGGTTATGATTGGCCTGTTTATATTTTCTCTTTCTTCCTGGCTCAGTCTCAGAAAGTTGTGCTTTTCTAAGAATTTGTCCATTTCTTCCAGGTTTTCCATTTTATTGGCATATACTTGCTTGTAGTAATCTGTCATGATCCTTTGCATTTCTGCAGTGTCAGTTGTTAGTCCTCCTTTTTCATTTCTAATTCTGTGGATTTGAGTCTTCTCCCTTTTTTTCTTGATGAGTCTGGCTAATGGTTTATCAGTTTTATCTTCTCAAAGAACCAGCTTTTAGTTTTATTGATATTTGCTATCATTTCCTTCATTTCTTTTTCATTTATTTCTGATCTGATCTTTATGATTTCTTTCCTTCTGCTAACTTTGGGGGTTTTTTTTGTTGTTGTTCTTCTCTCTCTAATTGCTCTAGGTGTAAGGTTAGGTTGTTTATTTGAGATTTTTCTTGTTTCTTGAGGTAGGATTGTATTGCTATAAACTTCCCTCTTAGAACTGCTTTTGCTGCATCCCATAGGTTTTGGTCTGTCATATTTTCATTGTCATTTGTTTCTAGGTATTTTTTGATTTCCTCTTTCATTTCTTCAGTGATCTCTTGGTTATTTAGTAGCATATTTTTTAGCCTCTATGTGTTTATAGTTTTTACAGTTTTTTTCCTGTAATTGATATCTAGTCTCATAGCATTGTGGTCAGAAAAGATACTTGATACGATCTCAATTTTCTTAAATTTACCAAGGCTTCATTTGTGACTCAAGATATGATCTCTCCTGGAGAATGTTCCGTGAGCACTTGAGAAGAAAGTGTATTCTGTTGATTTTGGGTGGAATGTCATATAAGTATCAATTAAGTCCCTCTTGTTTAGTGTTATCATTGAAAGCTTGTGTTTCCTTATTTATTTTCATTTTGGTTGATCTGTCCATTGGTGAAAGTGGGGTGTTAAAGTCCCCTACTATTATTGTGTTATTGTTGATTTCCCCTTTTATGGCTGTTAGCATTAGCCTTGTGTATTGAGGTGCTCCTATGTTGGGTGCATAAATATTTACAATTGTTATATCTTCTTGGCTTGATCCCTTGATCTTTATGTAGTGTCCTTGTTTGTCTCTTGTAATAGTCTTTATTTTAAAGACTATTTTGTCTGATATGAGAATTGCTACTCCAGCTTTCTTTTGATTTCCATTTGCATGGAATATGTTTTTCCATCCCCTCATTTTCAGTCTGTATGTGTCCCTAAGTCTGAAGTGGGTCTCTTGTAGACAGCATATATACGGGTCTTGTTTTTGTATCCATTCAGCCAGTCTGTATCTTTTGGTTGGAGCATTTAATCCATTTACATTTAAGGTAATTATCAGTATGTATGTTCCTATTACCATTTTCTTAATTGTTCTGGGTTTGTTATTGTAGTTCTTTTCCTTCTCTTGTGTTTCCTGCCTAGAGAAGTTCCTTTAGCATTTGCTGTAAAGCTGGTTTCTTGGTGCTCAGTTCTCTTAACTTCTGCTTGAATATAAGCTTTTGATTTCTCCATCGAATCTGAATGAGATCCTTGCTGGGTAGAGTAACGTTGGTTGTAGGTTTTTCCCCTTCATCACTTTAAATATGTCCTGCCACTGCCTTCTGGCTTGCAGAGTTTCTGCTGAAAGATCAGCTGTTAACCTTATGGGGATTCCCTTGTATGTTATTTGTTGCTTTTCCCTTGCTGCTTTTAATATTTTTTCTTTGTATTTAATTTTTGATAGTTTGATTAATATGTGTCTTGGTGAATTTCTCCTTGGATTTATCCTATATGGGACTCTCTGCTTCCTGGACTTGATTGACTATTTCCTTTCCCATGTTCAGGAAGTTTTCAACTATAATCTCTTCAAATATTTTCTCAGTCCCTTCCTTTTTCTGTTCTTCTACTGGGAACCCTATTATTTGAATGTTGGTGCGTTTAATATTGTCCCAGACGTCTCTGAGTCTGTCCTCAATTCTTTTCATTCTTTATTCTGCTCTGCGGTAGTTATTTCCACTATTTTATTTTCCAGGTCACTTATCGGTTCTTCTGCCTCAGTTATTCTGCTATTGATTCCTTCTAGAGAATTTTTAATTTCATTTATTGTGTTGTTCATCATTGTTTGTTTTCTCTTTAGTTCTTCTACATCTTTGTTAAATGTTTCTTTTATTTTCTCCATTGTATTTCCAAGATTTTGGATCATTTTTACTGTCATTACTCTGAATTCTTTTTCAGGTAGACTGCCTATTTCCTCTTCATGTGTTTGGTCTGGTGGGTTTTTATCTTGCTCCTGCATCTGCTGTGTGTTTCTCTGTCTTCTCATTTTGCTTAGCTTACTGTGTTTGGGGTCTCCTTTTCGCAGGCTGTAGGTTCATAGTTCCTGTTGTTTTTGGCGTCTAACCCCAGTGGGTGAGGTTGGTTCACTGGGTTGTGTAGGCTTCCCGGTGGAGGGGACTGGTGCCCGTGTTCTGGTGGATGAGGGTGGATCTTGTCTTTCTGGTGGGCAGGTCCGCATCCGGTGGTGTGTTTTGGGGTGTCTGTGAACTTATGATTTTAGGAAGCCTCTCTGCTAATGGGTGGGGTTGTGTTCCTGTCTTGCTAGTTGTTTGGCATAGGGTGTCCAGCACTGGAGCTTGCTGGTCGTTGAGTGGAGCTGCGTCTTAGCGTTGAGACGGAGATCTCTAGGAGAGCTCTCATCGATTGCTATTACATGGAGCTGGGAGGTCTCTGGTGTTCCAGTGTCCTGAACTCGGCTCTCCCACCTCAGAGGCTCAGGCCTGACACCCAGCCAGAGCACCAAGACCCTGTTAGCCACTTGGCTCAACTTGGTACGAGGGATGCTTGCCAGTGAATTAAGGTGCGAAAAAGACATAAGGCATAAATACCAAAGGTGTTGCCTGCGGTGCCAACTCTCTGGTTCCACGGACCTCTTTCCGTACTTTGTAATTCTCACTTCGGCTGGCCTCCATTCAGACCACCATCATAGCTCCCCTGGTACCCTAACTGAGCTCTGATTTTCCTGTGTGTTCCCCATTCTGCACTTTAGTTCATTTTAAGTTGTAGGGAAGAGAGTCATACTCAGGTTACCTCAGGGAAAGGGGGTTATTCTCTAGGTGAGGAAGCCTCAGCAGTCAACTGTGGAAGTCGTTACTGGACAGGAAGGCCTCCCACCGGGTGCTGTCCTAGTGCTCAGCTACCTTGGGAGCTGCAGCATAGAGGCGGTGGTCTTGGCTTCGAAATTGATTGCCAAATCTTCTCAGTTATGGCTTGATTGGTGATAACAAACCATGGGGACCCGTTCTTAAGGTATTACTTCTGGCATTCTTCCCTCAAGGAGCAGTGTAAATGGCTATACTGTTAAGCTCCTTGGGTCCTTCTTATGCCATCAGGCCTGGGGTTTATCTTCTTAATGAATAACATTGGTCATGATATTCCCTGCTTAAAATCCTTCAGTTCCTCTCTCTTATAGGAAGATGTCAAAACTCCTTAGCATGGCTGTGGGTTTCCTTATTCTTCTCCCTTTCCCCCTTGACTTCTCTGTTCTGGCCACGTTGTACTTCTCCCTCTCTGAACTCATGCTGTGTTCTTTTTTTAAAATTAATTTATTTAATTTATTTATTTTTGGCTGCATTGGGTCTTCGTTGTTGTGCGCGGGCTTTCTCTAGTTGTGGAGAGCGGGGGCTACTCTTCGTTGCAGTGTGCAGGCTTCACATTGCAGTGGCTTCTCTTGTTGCGGAGCTTGGGCTCTAGAGCACAGGCTCAGTAGTTGTGGCTCACAGGCTCTAGAGCGCAAGCTCAGTAGTTGTGGTGCACGGGCTTAGTTGCTGTATGGCATTTGGGATCTTCCCGGACCAGGGCTCGAACCTGTGTCCCCTGCATTGGCAGGTGGATTCTTAACCACTGTGCCAGCAGGGAAGTCCCATGCTGTGTTCTTTAAAGCATCTTTCCTCATAAGGGACTGCCCTTTCTTTCCTTCTTTGCTTACTTCCAGATTTAATTTACTCATCACCTCTGTTAACCTTTCCTGACTCTTCCTGGCAGTAGGTTGCTCATTCCGTTTTGTTCTCACTGTATCCTGTAGGGACCTATCATATTAGAACATATTTGTGTATTTCACCCCTGGATTTTGAGCTAATTTAAGACAGAGACCGTGTCTTCTGTCTCATCAACCTCCCCCTCCCCTGAATTCATCAAATATTTATTCATGGTCTACTTTGTGCCAGCATTGGGTCCTTGTGGAATAATGTGGAAATGGTGCAGAGAGCATTTCTTTGCTATTAGGTGTTTTCTTTGTCTTCTAGGTCGTGATATTATTGGGCTGGCGGAAACCGGCTCTGGGAAGACAGGGGCCTTTGCTCTGCCCATTCTGAATGTGCTGCTGGAGACGCCTCAGCGTTTGTTTGCCTTAGTTCTCACCCCCACTCGGGAGCTAGCCTTTCAGATCTCAGAGCAGTTTGAAGCCCTGGGGTCTTCTATTGGGGTGCAATGTGGTAAGTGTCGAGAGGAAAGGAATCTTCAGAATTTCTTCACAGGTTGAGAATGAGTGTGAAAGGAGAATGGAAGGAAGTGTCGTTAACGTAAGTTCATTGACCTAAAGGGCTGATTTGGTATTTTAGCTTCGGGGAAAGTTGTAATTGTAAGGGAAGAAAAATGAAAGTAGAAATGTGTCATTGGCTTTACCGTGAACTATGGAAAAAAATTAAGGATCTCTTTTCTATATTCTTTTTCTTTCTGTAGCTGTGATTGTAGGTGGAATTGATTCAATGTCTCAATCTCTGGCCCTGGCCAAAAAGCCACATATAGTAATAGGTGAGTGATGACAATGGTAGAAGACACTGGTGGTGACGAATTGGAGAAAATCTGCTGATATTGGGTGCAACTTCTTTGTGCAGAAAGAGTTCAAAGAATGGATTTAATTTTTTTTAACTTCTGAAATTCTGGTTGGGAGGGGGTGATCACTTTCTTTCTGTCCTTTTTCTTAAACATTGCCCTCTCTCCTCAACTTTTCTTGTTAGCAACTCCTGGTCGACTAATTGACCACTTGGAAAATACAAAAGGCTTCAACTTAAGAGCTCTCAAGTACTTGGTCATGGATGAAGCAGACCGAATATTGAATATGGATTTTGAGACAGAGGTGAGCTCAACATCTTTCCTCTTCCTAGAGCATCTCAAAATCTGTTCAAAATCTGGTTCATTGCATACCTGCTTTTGTGGAGCACTTAACCATTGCTGGTTAATTTAACATCTCTGCTGCTTTTTTCATTCTTGATGCTCTTTACACTGCCTGCCTCAGCATCCTCTTTATTTATTTTTTCTTTCTTTTTTATTGAAGGATAGTTGATTTATATTATTATATTATTTTTAGGTGCAACATGGTGATTCAGTATTTCTGTAGATTATACTCCATTTAAAATTATTACAAAATAATGGCTATATTTCCCTGTGCTTGTTGCTTTTAAATTAAATTAAATTTAATTAATTTTTTACTGAAGTATAGTTAATTTACCATGTTGTGTTTCTGGTGTACAACAAAGTGATTCAGTTATACATACATATATAAATATGTGTATATATATACACATATATATGTGTGTATATACATATACCTACACAAACTCCTAATTTATCCTTCCCTCTTTTCCCCTTTGGTAACCATAAGTTTGTTTTCTATGTCTGTGAATGTGTTTCTGTTTTGTAAATAAGTTCATTTGTATCATATTTTAGATTCCACATATAAGTGATATTATGTGATATTTGTCTTTGTCTGACTTCACTTAGTATGATAATCTCTAGGTCCATCCATGTGGCTGCAAATGGCATCATTTCATTCTTTATTATGGCTGAGTAGTATTCCATTCTGTATATACACCACATCTTCTTTATTCACCTGTTGATGGACATTTAGGTTGCTTCCATCTCTTGGGTATTGTAAATAGTCTCAGCATCCTCTTTCAAATATAGTCTGACTTGGGGGGTGAGGGATAAATTGGGAATATGGGATTAACATACACACACTATATATAAAATAGATAAACAGCAAGGACCTACTGTGTAGCACAGGGAGCTCTATTCAATATCTTGTAATAACCTATAATGGAAAAGAATCTGAAAAAGTGTAAATATGTATGTATGTGTAACTGAATCACTTTGCTGTATACCTGAAACACTGTAAATCAACTATACTTCAATTTAAAAAGACAGTTGGGCAAAAAACATGTATATATATATATATATACATACATATATACATACATATATATAGACTGACTTTGATTTCAGAGATGAGAAATACCAAAACCAGATTTTCTTTTTCCATTTCATTTGATTTCAGCCTCTTCCATCTTTTCTTTGATGACCCATTCATCATAGCTTATTTAGTTGATTAATGCTTATTCTTTACTTTTCTCTTAGATTAGCTCTGCTGATTTAAATGGTGCTTTTCTCTGACTGGCATTATTTTTTGGTAGCATCTGGTGTGGTATCAAATAGTAAATAGTCAGTTTTAGCTGAACTGAATCAAAGTTTTGAGTCCCCAAATCCCCACAGTGATGTATTTAGTTTGTTACCCCTCATCTCCTTCACAAGCAGCATTTGCAGGTGTCCAGTCTAAATGTCATGTTGGTACCGTTGTTCTTTCTGCCTTTTAGGTTGACAAGATCCTTAAAGTGATTCCCCGAGATCGGAAAACATTTCTCTTCTCTGCTACGATGACCAAGAAGGTGAACTTTTCTAGGACTTCTCTTTTCTTCTTTATAAGAATTGATAAACAGAAACAGTCACAGTGACAATAATAAACACAGAGTATTTAGGAATCAGTGCACTATTCTAGGTTTTCTTTCTTCAGGTGCAAAAACTGCAGCGAGCAGCGCTGAAGAATCCTGTGAAATGTGCTGTTTCCTCTAAATACCAGACGGTTGAAAAGTTACAGCAATATTATCTTTTTATTCCTTCTAAGTTCAAGGTAAAGTGTTTGCTTTGATCATTCCTGCCTCTCCCTCTCCTTCTTCACCAAGACATCTGAAAATGTGTCAACTCTTGATTAGCTAAGAGCTGTGCTACAGATTGGAGTCCTTTCTATTTGTTTTAGAGCTCATGCCGTGCTTTATTTTATCACTGATAAAGTCAAACATTCTGGGAATTCACAACATATTAAACCACAGTAATGAAGTCATGATACACTCCCTTCCTAGCCCCATCCTTGAGGTAGTTTTTCTTTTGCCTGCTTATTATGTGGCTTTTTTATGGACAGAGGACCCTAGTTTTGTGCTTTGATGTTAGGACTTTGCGTGCTTGCTGAGTACAGATCTCCTTGTGCTCGGCTTCAGGCTGTGTGTGAAACTCATGGTTCACAGAGATGATAATGATAATGCCAGTTAAGGAGTGCAAAGCTGGCGGCTGGGGGTCTGGATAACTGAGAAGCAGCTATGGGCTTAGTCTTTTACGTAATTTATATGCCTAGGACGCCAACCTTCTTCCAGGTTCAGTTACATATATTATTTTGGCTTTGTGACTTAGGATACCTACCTGGTTTATATTCTAAATGAATTGGCTGGAAACTCCTTTATGATATTCTGCACCACCTGTAACAATACTCAGAGGACAGCTTTGCTACTCCGAAATCTTGGATTCACTGCCATTCCCCTCCATGGACAGATGAGTCAGGTAACTATTCTTTGGAATCATTAGTGGGGAACTGGGGGCACGAGAAAGCTAAATCTTGTAGCAGGAGATTTCTGCAATAGCAACACATGACATTACTGCATCTTCCCATAGTGGTCCTGATCTTATGGGCATTAAAGTGTTGCTTTGGATGCTACTTCCTCCTTTCAGGATAGCAAGAGGCTCAAATTAAAATATTCCACAGGTAGTTGTCTGGGATGGAAGCTATTGAGTTGATTTATTCAGCCCTCATGGTAATAGTGACTCTCTCGTCTCTAAAGACTTTCAGTAAATTATTTCTCAATTATCTTTCTGTTATGTTTAACAAACTCTGTTTCATGTTAGTATTTTCTAGCTTTAGTCTTAAATATCTTTTTATTTCTTCCATGTTTCCTTTTGACCTGTGAAGCCTAGTTCAGACTAAGGGGGAAACATCCTTTTAAAAATTTCTCTCTTGGTTCTTGTATTTATTTAGTATGTCTAGTTTGTGTGTCTTGGATTCCAAGTTTTTCAAGATTAAAATTCTTTCAAGATTAAAATTTCTTCTTTTCATTGTCTCAGAGCAAGCGCCTAGGATCCCTTAATAAATTTAAGGCAAAAGCTCGTTCCATTCTTTTAGCAACTGATGTTGCAAGCCGTGGTTTGGACATACCTCATGTGGATGTAGTTGTTAACTTTGACATTCCTACCCATTCCAAGGTGAGTCCTGTTGCTGACCTGACTTTCTAGCCCCAAAGTGCTTTTCTTTTCTCTTTTCTTTTCTTTTTCCCTTCTCTTCCCTTTCTTTCCTTTCTTGTCCTTTCTTTCACTTCCTCCTTTCCTCCCTCCCTCTGTCCCTCCCTCCCTCCCTTCCTCTTTCTCTCTCTCTCCCCCACCTCCTTCTTCCTCCTTTTCTTTTCTTTTTTTTAAAATTGAGATGTAATTGACATATAACATTATATTCGTTTCAGGTGTAAAATGTAATGATTTAATATTCGTATATATTGCAGATTGGTCATAGTAAGTCTAGTTAACATCTGTCACCATTCATAATTACGCATTTCTTTTCTTATGATGAGAATTTTCCCTTAGCAACTTTTAAATATGCAGTACAGTATTATTAACTCTAGTCAGCATGTTGTACATTACATCCCCATGACTTATTTATTTCATAACTGAAATTTGTACCTTTTGCCTCCTTCACCCATTTCACACACACCCATCCCTGCCTCTGGCAACCACCAAATCTGTTCTCTGTGTCTGTGAGCTCAGTTTTTTTTGTTTTTGTTTTAGATTCCACATATAAGTGAGATCTCAGTATTTGTCTCTGTCTAACTTATTTCACTTAGCTGAATACCCTCAAGGTCTATCCATGTTGTCACAAATAGAAAGATGTCATTCTTTTTTTATGGCCGAATACTATTCCATCGTATCCAAAGTGTATTTCTTAATGGAATGTTTTCTGTCTTTCCTTAGTTACAGTATTGGAGTTTTTTTGGTGTGTGTGTGTCCTTGATTAGTTAAGTGTCAAAAATAGGGAAAGCTCTAGATCTTTTCATTCTCCTCATCTTGCACATGCCTGTGGATCTGATATTACTGAATGTGAATGAAGGAGCCCAGGAGAGGGGTTAGAGGCTCACCGTCGGAGGCGTAGACGCACCGCGTGCTCACCTCTGTCGGTCTATCTGATGAGAAATGGCAGCCTGTGGTCCTCAGTGTATCCCAGGGTTTCTCAGCCTCGGCACTGTTAACATCTTGGTCTGGGAATTCTTCATTGCGGGGCTGTCCTTTGTATTGTAGGATGCTTAGCAGAATTCCTGGCTTCTACTCAACAGGTGACATTGTGACAACCAGATATATTTCCAGACATTTCCAAATGCCCGCTGGGGAGGATGAAACTGACCCCAGTTGTGAACAACTAGTGTGTCTCGACTTCGTATTAAACTGCTGTAGACAGGGTCCTGTCTCATGATTTTCACAGTAACTCTGTGTGAGTTTGGCCATGTATTTGTGTCCCTGTTTTATAGATGCAAACCAGGGTTCAGAGAAGTTCTGGACTTGTAGACAGTTGTGTCGCTGGTCGGTGGGAAAAGCAGATCTGTGACCCAGGTCTGCCTCTAGATCTAGTGCCATTTTCCTCTGCCTGTGCTATGTCCATGGAGATTTGCTTTGTAGATTTGTCTTTATATAAAAGAAAGGAAAAAGGGGGTCAGTTTTGTGCTGTGAGGAGAATAAGAAAAGTGAAGTAGATTTATCTCTGTAACAGATTGCCAGTTCATCTCTCCACGTTCCAACACAAATCTGTTTTCTTTCAAAGGTTTGCAGGAAGAATTTACATACAGTTTTTAATTTATCTTCCAGCTAACTCAAAGTTACTTACCGTTTTTGTTTCAGGATTACATCCATCGAGTAGGTCGAACAGCTCGAGCAGGGCGCTCTGGAAAGTCTATTACTTTTGTCACACAGTAAGTGACCCGACTTTGGGGCAGAGCAATGTAGAGAAAAGAGCAGAACTGTGGGGCAGACAGACTTGCAACCTGACTTCACCACTTACTGTAACAGTCACTTAACCTCCCTCATCCCGCCTTCATTGTTTGTAAAATAGAAATAATAATACCGGTCTAGCAGGGTTTTAATGAAGACTGGAGATGTATATGTAAAGAGCATATACTGTACTACATAGGTGTAGTATAGTACTTGGCATATAGGAGCACACACACAAAAAACCCTGTTACTTCTTTTAAATGCTGGAGCCAGAGAACAGTGACCATTCCCTCAACTCACAGTATTACAATAACTATTTCTGATTTTGTTTTCTAGGGAACAAATTGTTATGTACCCAGGGCTTTTCTGGGAGTAAGGGGTATGTTGGGTGGTTTTCTGCTGGGCTGTGCACAGAAGATTGCATTTAGTTAGTATTCTGAAAAGGAATAATAGGTTCGATATTGTTGAAAACTGTGGCCCCTGTTGCATCATAGTTTTGGAATGGACAGACATATGCATTGTCAGCCAGCCAGAGCCATGGCAATTTTCCTTTTTCAGATACGACGTGGAACTCTTCCAGCGCATAGAACACTTAATTGGGAAGAAATTGCCTGTCTTTCCAACCCAGGATGACGAGGTTATGATGCTGACAGAACGTGTGTCTGAGGCCCAAAGATTTGCCCGAATGGTATGCAATGCATTTTCTCACCAGCAAATGAAATTAACTTACATGCAAGACACTTTATTGTGTTAATCTTCAACTTGGAGTATTTGATTCCAAATTTAAGATGAGCATACTAAAGTGCAGATGTAGGTAATTTGCTTTCGACTGTACGACTAAATGGTTGAATCAGGGTTTGGACTCGGTCTGACCACAGTGACCACATTCCCAGCCACTGTTCATGTTTCACATGAGGCAAAAAAAAACCTTTGGACTTGAGATCAGATCAGGAGGTGCAGCTGTGAACTGTGAGCTTGGACAAGGTGTCTAACCTCTCAGAATCAGTTCCTCATTTGTAGATTGGGAATAATAGTTACCTTGAGTACAGGGTTTTATGAGCATCGATCAAGCTGATGTAAACAGCGTAGTTACTGATAGTAGCGGTAGCGGTAGGAGTGGCGATGAGAAGGTTCTAAAGGAGCCCCTTCCAAGTGCCGTCTGCTCTCTGGGGTGCTGGTCTGAGGGGTGAAGAAACTTCGCCCGTGGGGTGCTTTCTGAGTAGCTGAGGTGTGGACTTGTTTTTGTTTTTCTCCCCACATGGAATTCTTTGTTTGGTATTTTTGTTTATAAAAATATTACATGTGCATTGGGAGACATTTTTAGAAAATACACAAAGGATTAAAATAGTAAGTGAAACACGTAAGCCACCCACCGCAGAAAACCATTGGTAACAGTTGGCTGTTTTTCTTTCCTTAGCCATAATTAGACTTTATCTAATTGTATATGACTTTATCTAAATGTATATCATTTTTCTATTTGAACTAGCAGAGAATCATGCGATTACTTTTTTTTTTTTTTTTCACATTTTAAACTTTATTCAAAAAATGTCATCTAGGCTGTGTCTTAGCCCTGAATCGATTCAGTTACCAAACTTTCCTAAACACCAGTGGCAGGAGTAATCTCTTGGAGTTGTTGCAAGGTCCTTAACTGCCTTCTGACTCGTCAAGGGAAACCAAATTGGGTCTTCTAGACTTTGCATTAGGTATATTTTATTACTTTCCAATGTTTTGAAAATTGGTAATCTGAGGGGAGAGAATTAAGTTTTTTAAAAATAGCACTGCTTGCAAGTTTAGAAACTGACATCTTAGACGCTAGCATCTTAGAATTCTCATGGGATCATTTCTTAATGGCTACAGAGAATTCTGTCATGAATATATAATGTGATTTACATTGATGTGTGTTTATGCTTTTCCCGGTTTTTTGTATTTTAACTAGAACTCTGTTGAACATCCTGATATGTACAGCTTTGCACACTTGTCTTGTTTCCTTAGAATAAATTCCTAGAAGTAGAATCAATTGTTGGGTGGAGGAGAATACACAGTTAAAATTCGAATTCATACATAATGTCAAACTGCCCCCCTAGAAAAGCTAAAGCACTTTTACACGATGAGCGACAGTGTATGTGACTGTCCGCACACCTGACCAGGTCTAGGTATTACCATTCTCTTAAATCTTTGCCAGAATAATAATAAGAGCTTATTGTTTTAATCTTCCTGTCTTTGATTACTAATAAGATTAACATTTTTGTATCTTGGGATTTTGGTCTTATTCCTTTGCTAATGTGAGGTGTTAGGGAGTTACTTAGTGTTTGATTTTAAGGAGCAGAGACTAGGATGTGTCACTCTCAGTGACAGCCATTCATTTTCAATCCCATCCTTTCCGTTTCTTGCAGGAGTTAAGGGAGCATGGAGAGAAGAAGAAGCGCTCGTGGGAGGCTGCTGGGGACGGTGACGATAGGGAGGGTGCAATCGGTGTCAGGAACAAGGTGGCTGGAGGAAAAATGAAGAAACGGAAAGGCCATTAATCTCTTTTATAAAGACTTGACTTCTGCTTTCTGTTCTGTAAAGAGGATTGAAGGAGAGAATGGGACCTCTCCCTCCAGAGTGCTGCAGGCTGAAATCCATCAGAATTGTGTCCAGAATCTGCCCAGCTCACTCAGTGCTCATCCCCCTTTCCGTGTGTTAGAACATCGTTGCCTGCAGAATATTTTTGAAGTGCTGATGTCAAGATTCGGACTGTTCTTCAGCTTTGGTTCCTTGCTCCTGACACTAGTAAGATATGTTCTCCTATCCCTTCACACAGACCTGTGCTTTTTTCAGCTGCAAGTCAAGGACTGGGCTAATGAAGCCCTTGACCTGTGATTGTAAAGGAAAGGAGCTTCTAGATCTAAAAACAGTGATGCTTCCGCAGTCTCAGCTTGTGTTTCGTGAGACCAAATGGGAAATAATAAATTTAAATATTATTAAAAAAAAAATTGAAACTCCTTGAGGACCTTTTTGGGTTACAGACTTTATAGATTTAGTAAGATCTTCCTAATAGGTAAGAAACTGACAGTGGTGATTCCATGGCAGATTCATTGGTTGTCCTTAATTTGAGGTAACCATTATTTATGACTTTAAAAAAATCAACAAAGAAACAAGAGGATGGATGGCTTTGAAAGGGAAGTCCTGCTTGAAAGGAGGTTGTGTTTTTCTTGGGGATGGAGCAGAGTCTCTTAGATCCCTGAATAGATTCACATCCCTGGCTCCTTGGATTAAAATCCTCTGTGGGGGGCTTCCCTGGTGGCACAGTGGTTAAGAATCCGCCTGCCAATGCAGGGGATACGGGTTCGAGCCCTGGTCCAGGAAGATCCCACGTGCCGCGGAGCAACTAAGCCCGTGCACCACAACTACTGAGCCTGTGCTCTAGAGCCCGCGAGCCACAACTACTGAGCCCACGTGCCACAACTACTGAAGCCCACGCGCCTAGAGCCCGTGCTCTGCAACAAGAAAAGTCACTGCAATGAGAAGCCCACACACCGCAACAAAGAGTAGCCCCCGCTCGCTGCAACTAGAGAAAGCCCGCATGCAGCAATGAAGACCCAACACAGCCAAAAATAAATAAATTTAAAAAATATATCCTCTGTGGGAGTCAAGTGTGGATGTTGATTGCAGGAAGATCTTTATAAAAATAGGGGGTGGGGTGCCTACCTCTGGGGGGCTAATTCTCCATTTGTTTCCTGATGGGACTCTCCAGAGTGGGTTAGCTAATAGCAACTCCCTCTCCCTCTGGGCTGGTGGGTAAAAGCCAGTGGATGGGTGCTGTTTCAGCTCAGTGGAAGACTTCAGAAGCAAGCAGAATTTGAATCGGGTTATGGGTGGTGGGTAAGAAGGGATTGGAATTATCCTGAAGGAGTCTGAACTTTCTAAATGGACAGGATCTCTAATTTAGGGTCTGTGGACCCCTGAGGTATATGCATATTTCTGGGGAGACTAAAAAGGTTAAAAACCTCTTCTAAAGCTTATCTGTTGTTTCTGAAGTATATACGTATTCTGCTTTGCTAGGATGGGAAGATAGGACTCTAAGGGGAGAAAGGTGGATGATGTGTCTTCGGGCGTATTAGTAGGCCCAGACCATAAACTAGAGTCCCAAGCAGAACAGGTAAAATGCCACTGTGAAGGGCAGGAGGCACAGAAATAAACGAATGCGATCTAGTAGTAAATGAGGGCAAAGCTGCTGGTTTGTATCACTAATCTGAACTGTTCTCATGCTCCCTGTATGCAAAGGCAAGATTGCAGAAGTCTTGAGGCTGAAACCCTAATCGAGGTGTGTATGAGTTTCCTGGGGCTGCTGAAACGAAGTACCAGAAACCCGGGGGCTTAAAACAGCAATTTGTTGGATCACCGTTCTGGAGTCTAGATGTCCAAGACCAAGTTATCAGCAGGGTTCCATCTGAAACGTCTCGGGAAGGGTCTGTCCTTGCTGCCTCCTAGCGTCTGGTGGTGGCCAGGGGTCCTTGGCTTGTGTCAACGTAGCTCCAGTCTCTGCCTCCATGCCTTCACGTAACCTTCTTCCCTGTGTGTCTGCCTTCACATGGCCTTCTTATAAGGATGCGATAATTGGATTTAGGGCACACCCTAATCCAGTATGACCTTGTCTTGACTCATTACCTCCACAAAGACCCTATTTCCAAATAAGGTCACATTCTGGGATTCCACGTGGACATGAATTTGGGGGGGGACACCATTTAGCCCAGTACAAACCGTCTTTCTGGACTGTTGTGTTTTGGGGGGTTTAAGATTGTGTTGTGGAATACAAGTGGTAGATAGAGTTAATGACGAAGAAAGTGGAGAAAAGACAGGAGATAGGTCTTCAGAAACAGAATGGGTAGAAGTAGAGAAATTTACAGTGACATCCTCTGAAATGAAATGTAAATTGTTTTGTAGTCAAGGTCCCAAAGGGTCTCGTTTTAGAAATGGAGAAGGAGGTTTCCGGCCTTTCTTCTTGTCCCATTTTAGTGTAATTCCTTAGTTCTGCTTTCCTGATTTAAGAAACTGAGGGCTTCAAAACAACCAACCAACCTCTCCCCCTCCCCCAATCGCAAACAATTCCCACACCTAACTTTTATGATTTAAAGGGAGTATCTTGCGATAGTCATTAATAATGTTGGCCCAGAGAAAATTCTCCCGTATTTCTCATCCGAATCATAAAACCACTTTATACAGCATTCATTGTATCATGGCTTCATGATACTAGCTAACGTGGTTTTACTTCCTCTGTACAGAGCTAAAGTGAGATGAGGAAAATATCTCTACCTTGTGAAGGGGTCTTAGGATCCCAGTGATGGGGTTTCAGCTGAGCAGACTATTCTAGGTTTAAAAGCAGGCCCAGAATTCCAGGCTCTCCAATTTAAGGGCACTCAGGATTCTAGTAGTTGCCCAGAGGGATCTAGACTCAACTAGATCTTGATGATTCTTTTCTTAGTCCCTCAAAAATGTGATGAATATCCTAGAACTTGGCTGACTCTATAAAGACATCTGGCTTACAGCCAGAGTGTTTTCCAGGTAGCTTCCTACCTGCAGATATATCCAAAAATCCAAATCAAAGACTCTGTGTACCTACCCCAGGTCCCTCAAAGCCCTGGGAAATGAGACCAGAAAGAACCACAGGCTGTGGTATTGGTTACAGAAAATGAAGGCGTCCAAGTTATCAAAAGCAGGTAACAAAATAACATCAAGCAAGTATGCTCCAAAGACTTGAATGCAGAATTAGAGAGTATACAAGAAGTTTTAATCCACATAGTTCTCAAGGTGAAATCTAGCCTCAGGGCTGATAATAAATCAGGGTGTGAGTCACCCCTCTTCAGTAGGAATGACGAGAGACCCAGACCCTGGCACTAGAGACTCAAGGGCTACCCACACCCACATTCTTTTTCATGCCTCACCTGTCCCAGGTATGCACTAAAAATAACTGCAGAAACCTGAACTCTGGGAAATCACACTGAACAGTCTCACCTAGAAGAAAGAGTTGATTTGTGCCCAGTGGAAGAGAGACGGGGAAAAATGGGCTCATGTAGAGACTGTGTAATCTCTAGTTGGTGGGCCCTGATGTCTTCATATTCTTGAAGTTTTTATCTGTTTGTAGTCCACCCAATACCTTCCAAAACTATAATTCTTCATTAACCTGTGGATGCTATCTAGGGACTGGAAGAAACTGGAGGGATGCGGAACAGCGAAGTGTGGGGAAAGTGTTAGTCAAGAGACTTGTTCACACTGTAGCTCTGTGACCTCGTGAGAGTTACTGAACCTCGATTTCTCTCACTTGTTAATACGGAAATAAGAGCATCTCGCCAATCTGCCTCAGAGTCTTGAAGCTGGTTTTATTGATTTTTAAATTCTGTTCCCTCCCTCTCTCCCTTCCAGTGTCTGCTCTGTCCCAGCCACTGTGCCAGGTACCAGGAAGACCACAATGAAGAGAAAGGTCAGACGCTGTCTTGGATGAACTCAGTCTTAGCGTGGTATTGTGGTCGTGCTTGCCCAGGGAGCAGGGCCTATTCGTGGGTGTGACTCTAACATCTTGCAGGGCCCAGCACACAGTGAAGGTTCAATATGTGTCCTTTTCTGAAACCGTGTATTGGCATCTTCACTCGTGTCTTTAGTTCCCTTCAATCCTGAAAGGTGGTTGTTATTGTTCCCATTATAAGCTAAGGAGCCGGACTATCCAGTCTGCTTCGTACCAGCTGTGAGACCTTGGGCAAAGTATTCAACCTCTTCTTGTTTCAATCTCCTTATCTGAAGAAACACAGATAGTAATAAACCTACCTTGTGAGGTTTAAATGACCTCTACTGCGGCTGTCCCCATAATGATCAATAAGTGTTAGCCATTGTGATTGTCATTATTATTACTATTATTACAGATGAAGAGTGGCTAAGTAGCTTGCCCATACAGCTTGTCATACAGCGTGTAATGGACCAAATTTGATTTCAAGCCTCTACTCTTTATACTAAATACACTATGTGTGTGTTAAGTGTGTGTGTATAATTTCATATTATTCATTCAGCAAGTGCTTATTGCATGAAGACTGAGCCATCATTTGTAATTTCTTCCTTTGGAAAAATGTATTCCACATAACAAACAAGTATGACACAAATGAGCTTTCGGACTCCAGCCTATTCAATATCTGCAGATTGGAACGGCCAGGTGGGGGAGTATGACATTTTCATTTCCACCAGTAGATGGCAGAAGGGAGAAAAGATACCCCTAAATGGGAGGAGTTTTCACAGTGGCTGATTAAAAGGGCTCTTTGTCTAATGTTTGGCCCACAGTGACTGAGGGCCCGGGGGTCAGGGTGGGTATGAGAACTACCTTCAGGTATTTCAAGGTGTCAGCCTTCAAGAAGGTCTACTAGGTCGACCCAGAAGATGGGGACTGGGGATAGAAGTAAACTGAGGCTCAGATGTAGTAAGAAGAAGAAGTTGCATTCCAGTATTATCTCTTCCTCACATTCCCAGCCTGCATTCCCTACTGTTCAGCCTGCAAGCAGCTTTGTTCTTTTGAAAAGTCTGCCCTTCCCTCCTGGGATTTTAAGTCCCTTGTCCTCCGTTTATGCCCCCTCCAGCTCCCACCCAAGTCTGTAACCTCAGAGTACTGTTATTCTCCCCCCAACATCACTGCCTACTCCCACTACATGTTCGTGTTTCTGAGTGTAAATTTGCCGAGCCATGAACCCCCCTTCTGTTGTACCTTCTCTTTTACTGCACATCCATCTAGTAAGCTTTGTCCATAGCCCTCACTCCTCTGTCAGATAAGCCTGGTGCTGGTTAGCTGGAGAGCCACTTGTTCCTTCATTCTGTCCTAAAGACATTATCTTTCAGCTCCAAGTGATGGGCCATTGTCCCTCTGGTTCCAGAAGAGTGGTAGCAGCCTTCAGGTGTGGTGGTCAGAAATAACGGAGCTAACTCCACCATCACTGGTTTCTGTGCTGGCTCTTTC